AGGCTCCAAAATAACTAAGATATAAATCTGATGAAATTGAATAAGTTTTCTCAGGTGCCTGTAAGTAGCTACACTAGCTACACGTTTTACATTCCGGATGATGACACTCATTTGGATGTACGTGAAGAGCTATCCTGTGACCTACTCCTGGTCATCATCCTGGGTAGTGAATTATCAGTAACTTTCAAATGTCTCTTCTGACTTACTCGGATAAAACCATCCCCCTATGTCTTACCATCCATACATGTCAAATCATCAAAAGAAGATCTATGAAAATGACCTTGCTAATGAACTTCAACCTGATGGAAACCCCCTGAATCCGACTGTTCCGTAGAAAGAGAAGCCTTCATATTTCGCTGACACTATGCAATAGGCACATCCGTACTACTAAAGCCCGGTGGCCTTTCGAGCATATCCATCAAGAGAGAGTCAAAGTATGCAGGAGTAACTGGCATAGAAACACAGTTGACGGGGATCGAAGCTTGAATACCTAAATGATCAACTGATGTAACGGGTGGACTCTGAGGAACAACCATTTGAGGAGCAACTGTAGGATGATATAGTGGCAAAGAAGTAGTAGTCTGTGGATCAGTGGTACTAGTAACAGGTGGAGTAGTAAAAGTAGTAACTGTCGGAGCTGTAGTAGCAGTGGTGCCCATAATAGTGGGAGGAATAGAAATAATATTCTCGGAAGTGGAATGAGAAGTCCATCAGATAGCCCATCTTGTCTCTTCTAATTGTGCTTAACCGATGTCCATCTCTGGAGAGGCGCAGTTACAGTTTCCTTCCCTTTATCCTTAACCGATGTTGGTGGAGGCTTAGGAGCATGTCCAACAACCAAAGGGGGAGTCGATGGTGGAGGATGATGTAAGTTACTGGAGCATTTTTCCTCCATATGTCCAAAATGTCTACATCGAAAACAAAAGTCCGGAACCTTATCATAAACAATGGGCTGCCAATAACCACCCTATTTTTCCCTCTCAATCCAGACTTTGTCAAGGAGTCTATATTCCAAGTCAACCTCAATACATACCCTAGCTTCACTAAGGTGGCGAAGAACAGAAGTGCTTCGTCAATGCGAAGTGGAAGTCCAATAGCCCTAGCTATGGCGAATATTGAACTCTTAGCCAAAAAAATGAATAGGAAACAAAGAAAATGACACCCGAACAGGAGTAATAGGAACCTCATACTGTGGACTAAAACTGGGGGTCCATTTAAAAACACGCATAGGACATTTATTAATATACAAAGTAGGTTTGAGGAATAATTGTGAATAATCATCCTCGTGTGCCATATGAATAATAATGTGCGCATCATCGAAAAGCCCATTCTCATAGTCACCAATAAAACCAAACCGTATAAAATTTTCGCGTACCTTGGTCTTGTAGGTTTATGATGTACAAATTTGCCTACAAGCGCAAACC